CCCGGATGCTTCGCCGCAGTCCTCCCGCTGCCGCTGCCAGCGCAGTCCAACCCGTCGCCACAGCCCAAGCAGGGACCGAAGCCGCACGGCTTCTCGAGGTGAACGAACGGTAATACTTGTGACTCTTGAAGCAGAGTCCTCAAAAATAACTATGACTGGCACGGTTTGTGGGAGCGTGTCAATTTTGAGGCCTGGAAGGAAGCGGGCACGGGATACCCCCCCTACCCCTCCCCGGCCCCCGCGTAGGCTGTAAGGGAAACCATCCAACGCCCCTTCTAAAGATGAACGAACAGTACTGTGAGTCTTCAACCAGAGTCCTCAAAGCTAACTCTATTCTCAGCAACAGCGTGTCAGGGGCTTGGAACCCAGGGCTTGGGGCCGGGGCCTCCAGGGACTTGGGGCCCGGGCCTCCAGGGGCTTGGGGCCCGGGCCTCCAGGACCTTGGGGCTTGGGGCTCGGCAGCCCTCAAACTGCCAGTTTTTTGGGGCCCGGGCCTCGAGGGCTCGGCAGAAAAGTCTCCTGGTGGGAGGCAGGCGAAGGGGTGGGAGACGGCTGAAACGGCTGCTGCAGAGGTGGGGGCCTGGAGGGAAGCGGGCACTTACCCCCCCCCCCCGCATCTAGGCAAAAAGAGAAAAGAAGAGGGTTTTTCACCCTCTCCGTTACTGAAACCATCCAACACGCCCCCCAAGGTCGGCGGACTTAGAGGTGCCTTTGAAGGGGGATCAGGGCTTAGGTTTCCCAAAATTAGGGGTAGTTTTCTGGGAGTCTCATTGATAAGGATTATTGTGCAGTATTTAAGGGTCTATGGAAACTATCAAGTCCTTTCACAAGCAGTTCCTTTTCTGAACCGAGAACCCCTGAACCCCAAAGTTCAAATCCCAAAGCCTCAGCCGAAAGCCTTCTAAAGCCTGAATGGAACGCCGTTTAAGGTTCAGGGTTTAGGGCTTTCCACAAAAATCGGCGATTATGTTTGTCCAAAATGGGGACCCCTAAACCCTAAACCAATTATCCAGAACTATTGTGTTCTGGCGTTTTAGGGTGGTTCCTGTAGCAGATTGTTGCCTAAGGGACTGGGGGGGTCGCGGATAATGGAAAGACAATGGAAACTACTATCTGAGCTTTAGTCTAAACTCCTTAAAGGGGGTTATATAGGGGGATTATATAGGGGACTGCTATAGGGGTTATTAAAGGGGATACTAGGAGTTTAGACTATAGTTCATGTGGGGTTTAGGGCTTAGGTCTCGGGAAAAACTAAGGACATCGTTGAGGTGGTCTATTTAGCAGTACAGGGGGGGGACCTGAATTCTTGGAATCTTGATATCAACCCTAAACCCTAAACAGGAGCAGCGATCCCAAAGCCCAAGCCCCAAACCCCAGCTAAGGCTTACTGATTTTCAGACGCTCCCGCGTGGGACGTGACAAAACTATGGTCCCTTTCTGGGGACCCTGAGTAAAGAATCCTATCGCCTTGCTTAGAGAAACCCGAGGTGTGTTTGCAGATTTCTTCTGTGTGCGGACATACAGTGGATACTAAAGGTCTTGTATGACCCTAAGTATCAAATCCGTTTGAAATTATGGTGTTAGAGTATATTGAGGTCATGCAGGATTTGTTTAGCATCAACATGCATCCGATGTTTTCTGACGGGTGTTTGGTTGAACTGCTGCACAGTGACCGGGGTACCGTTCCCGAACTCACCACTCCATTTCTGATGCCCTGTGCTTGGTTGCAACTGAACCGTAAACCCACAGGGAAACTTATTGTGCCATGTCTCGAGTCATTCCCCCTTACAATAATTGTGCCTACAGTTACACTAAACCTAAACTTTCAATCAAGGGACCTACAAGGGATCTTAATTTTTGGCACAATAAGGTAGTTGTCCTTAAAGATACCTTAAACCTTAAGCCAAGGGACCTACAAGGGATCTTAATTTTTGGCACATGCCTGCGTAATATCTGGGAGAGGCAGACCTGGGCTTGGCCCCTTTCGCGCGCTACGCCGTTGTGCAGGGACAAATCGAAGCTTGCGCACGCACTGGGTTTGGGGTTTAGTTTACGGTTTAGGGTTTGGGGTTTAGAGTTTAGTGAAGGTTTCAGGGACAATAGATCAAGGCTTAGGATTTAGAATATGCAATTGGGTGACACTTTGGGATAATCGATGATTTCCCCGGTTGTTGCATAAGGACCCTACATAATCCCCCATGGAGATTAGTCTATAGCTCACTTTGAGATAGATTCTGACAGCGGCAGGACGATGGACGTTGATAAATT